GTGTTTATGCCCCGTCTGGAACAATATTCCGCGCCCAGAGAGAGAGCGATTCTTTAATACCACCATCGCCTACTACCTCCGTCACCGCACCGAGCACGTAATTCTCACAGGCGACTTTAATTGTGTGCTACGGCAGTGCGATGCGACTGGATGTAATATGAGCTCTTCTCTTCAAGCCACCGTACAACAGCTTCAGCTTCATGACGCGTGGCTAAAACTTCGTCTTGGAGACCCTGGTCACACGTATATTACGGCAAATTCTTCATCAAGATTAGATCGTATTTATGTAAGTAGTAGACTGTGTGAGCAGCTGCGAACTGCACACACGCACGCATGCTCATTCACCAATCACATGGCTCTGACAGCTCGAGTGTGTTTACCTCATCTTGGTCCAACACAAGGGCGCGGGTTCTTGTCGCTTCGTCCCCATCTCATAACCAACGAAAATATGGCAGAGTTGCAGACACGTTGGCAGTTTTGGACTCACCAAAGACGCAACTACCGAAGCTGGATGGACTGGTGGCAGACGTGCGGTAAGCCGAAAGTTGCAAGTTTTTTTCGTTGGAAATCGAAACAAGCGTACGACGAGTTTCATCATGCGCAGCAATCCCTTCATAACCAACTGCGACAGCCAACAGGCCAACGACGGATACTACCTAAATCCGGCAATGTTATCAACTATAAACCGCCTCAAGGGAGAAATGCTCGCTCTGCAGAGACGCTTCACGCAAGCCTTCGTTCGTATACACGAGCATTTCGTATCAGGAGAACCTATGTCCGTGTTCCAGCTCGGTGAAAGGAAAAGAAAAAGGACAACGATAGCACGGCTGGATGGCGATAGAGGGGAAGTCATGGACGACTCGCAAACCATTCAGAACCACGTTCATCGTTATTTCTCGGAATTGTATTCGGTTCCAGGTGGCGAAATAGTTCAGTCCGACGAATTTCAGTGTGACCAGGTAATTCCAGAAAACGATGCGATAAACGAGGCATGCATGGACGCGATCACAGCGGTAGATATATGGGCCGCTATAAAATCAAGCGCTTCTAAAAAGTCACCGGGGCCAGACGGACTGCCGAAGGAATTTTACCTCCGAGCATTTGACGTCATCCATCGGGAGCTAAATCTCCTTCTGAACGAGGCGCTAGCGTCTAATTTTCCATCGGAATTTGTTGAAGGTGTTATCGTCTTAGTGAAGAAGAAAGGAGCTGGTAACACTGTAGGATCATACAGACCTATCTCTCTTCTCAATTTCGACTACAAACTGCTGTCCCGCATACTAAAAGCGCACCTAGAAAATGTAATGAGAGCACACCACATTCTCAGCAATGCTCAAAAATGTTCGAATGCACACAACAATATCTTCTAAGCCACGCTAGCACTGAAGGATAGGATCGCTCACTTGAAGGTACGCAAACAGTCTCCTTCGATCTGGATCACGCCTTCGATCGAGTATGGCACTCATTTCTCTTTGAGAACATGCGTTCTCTCGGCATCAACAGTCAGCTCGTCGATTTGCTCTCACATGTCGCAGCTCTATCCTCTTCCCGCTTGTTGATAAACGGGCAACTGACGACATCGTTCCCCATCCAGCGATCGGTGAGACAAGGGGACCCAATATCGATGCATTTGTTTGTATTGTATCTACATCCATTGGTAGATTCACTCGAGGTAGTATGCGGCACCGACTTGATTGTTGCATACGCGGATGATATAAGCGTTATCACCACATCGACACACAAGATTCAAACAATGCGTGATCTTTTTCTTGGTTTCGGACGAGTGTCTGGAGCAGTCCTCAACCTGAGTAAGACGACGTCCATTGATGTCGGCTTCGTCAATGGTAATCCGATTCAAATTGATTGGATAAAGACTGAAACCCATATAAAAATTTTGGGTGTGATTTTTGCTAACTCTATACGGCTCATGATCACCCTCAACTGGGATATAGTGGTAGGCAGGATAGCTCATCAGGTGTGGCTGCATTCGATGCGCACGCTAACCCTTCATCAAAAGGTGTTTCTTCTCAACACTTTCATCACGGCCAAGGTATGGTATCTGTCGTCCATATTGCCACTGTACTGTGTCCATACGGCCAAAATAACAGCAACCATGGGAACGCTTTGACAGCCAGCGCGTGTGCCAATGCAACAACTGGCTAGACCACGTGATCAAGGAGGACTGAAACTGCAGCTGCCAGCGCTGAAAGCAAAAGCGCTGCTGATCAACCGACATCTCCAGGAGATCAGCTCCATTCCCTTCTACAATTCCTTCCTCTCTCATACAAATCCTGACCCTCCCCCTGCTGACCTTCACTGCCTAAAAACTATCCTGCAAACATACCCTCGTTTGCCCCCCCAAATCCAGCAAAATCCTTCCTCCGATCAAATCCATCGTTTTTACCTCGAACAAACTGACCAACCACGAGTCGAATTGCGACATCCTGCAGTGAACTGGAGGCGCGTATGGCTCAACATTGGAAGCAGAAAATTGTCATCAGCCCAACGTAGCAGCTGGTATTTGCTCGTCAACGAGAAAGTTGAGCACAGACTGCTATGGCACACCATTCGGCGCGTGGACAGCGAGCAGTGCTTACACTGCAATACAGCAACAGAAACACTGAAGCATAAACTGAGCGAGTGTCCTCGAGTGACGGCGGCGTGGCCGCATTTGCAGAACGTTTTAGCGACTATCCTTGGCGGTCGGAGACCTCTCTCTTTCGAGGACCTAATACATCCAGTTTTGGACAGAGTAGGCAGAAGACAAAGAATTGAAATCCTTAAACATTTTATTAATTATGTCACCTTTATCATAGATTGTGATAACGCAGTAGTCGTAGGAGAACTGGATTTTCATTTACAAGTTGAAATGTAATTATTTATACTGTTGTTAGTTTTAAACAAAATCAACTAAATAAACTAAATTTTAAAATGTAAAAAAAAAATTGTATTTAATATTACAATGCACATTTTCTCCAAAGACACTATACCAGTACTAGTCTTCTGTCAAAAGTTATCGTCAGTTGTGTAGTCTTTAAGCTCAAAATTTCAAGTGTAACATTTCAAAATGGCGCAAGTACAACCGATAGTACTTCGTATCACTTTAAAAAGCATATCAAGAAGTACATTTTAAGGGGATTTATTTTAAATTTGAACTTCTAGTAACCCTACGACCATCATAAAAGCAACATTAGGTAAATTTTACCTATTCCAGTCGATTGATCGTTAGGTAATTTTAACTCAATGAATTCTTGATCAGGATTACACAAAAATGAGTTTTCTTGTTTAACTTAATTTTATCTAGCCCCACGGAAGCCACGTGCTGAGTGAATCATCCCTTAAAAGAAATGAACAGTGAAATTGAACAATTGATTAAAACACACATACCTACAAATAACCGATAAAATAAAACAATTGAAACCAACAAATTTTAACATTTTTTAATATCTTTATTCACAAAACGGGATCCCGGGAACTCCCGCGTAATCACATTTTATTTCCCGAATCTTGGTATGGTGAAACCCGGCGGGAAATGGAAGCTCAAGATTCTACCTATTTTAGGTAGTGGCGTGATCGTGGTATTCCTTAATAAACTATGGAACGAGATTTTGGCTGACAAAATTATTAATACTGTATTTATATTGGCTGTTAACTTGAAAATTACCATTCAACTTTCACTAATTATTTCTTTGTTTTAAAATTGCTTCTATTTTTATTTACATTTGTCGGTGGAAACCTTCGTCCAAATCTAAAGCAAAAGTGATACACAACGTCTTATGCTAGTGTCAGCTTTAATCTGCATGCAATAAGGGCGATTTGTTATGTATCAACGTGCTGTTGGGCATGTTCGTTCACTCAAATCGAAGGGTTGATTGAAATTTAGGTAATTCAAAAATGATAAACCATGAAAATCGATGACACGGAGATACAACCTCATGACTCATGAAAAAAATTAACAGTCTTTCTTTCGCCGATAGTTGGCCAACGTATGGATCCCATATGTGACGCAGTTTGCTAAAAGTTTCAAAAACGATGGAAACTGTCTTTAAAATAAGTTTTATGATGGATGGGACAGCAGATGGCGCAAACAGAAAAAAATCTTTGTCATTTTTTCCACTCTTTGTTTGTAACGTGAATCGCTGTTCACCTGAACTCGTGAAATATTAACTCCAATTGGTGTGCTGTAAAAGTCAGACCTTTGCACCCCGCTGAACCATGTATGCATGTGAGGGCATACTCCTTTGATTAACAATTGAATAATTGATGTAAGAGACATTAAATTTCCATCAACCTCAACAGCCAGCGATCCCGGGACCAGAAAGGAGACAAAGCGAAACCAATGTAATTAGTGGTAAATGGTGCGGTTTCCGCAGCTGTTCTCGTTGGGGGGTTGGATTTCCTCGATTGTCTCGTATGAACCAAAACACTAATTTCCTCCAGCATATCAAAACAAAGGCGCGTGCGGAAAATTGAATGGTAAACGTTTTGACTTTTCCCGCTCGTTCGGCCGGGTACGAAAAAGGGGTAAGAGGTTATGTCTGTTGTTAGTTTGATTGAAAGGTTATAATCATTACGTGTGTCCCAAAGTGGTATTTCCACTCCTGGTAGAGAGATTGGGAGATACTGACCACCGCATGTGTTTCAGCAGCCGAACAGGTGTGCAATTGACTGAACAACTGGAGTGAAGCACGGTATGAATTATAAACTATCCATTGATTATCGACACGGGGTGAGTAACGGGAGGGAAATTCAAAAGAAAATATGATGACTGGCAGAATGTTCGTTTCAATCAATAGAACTTTGATTCCGTTCAATCTAGTGATAGATTGATAAATTTGCATAAAACAGTGTCACTGTGAACATTGGCACCTGAAATGCGATTAGGATTCAAAACATCGAAAATTGCACGTCATGAAACGACGAACTAAATTATCCAGCCTATCACGGTTTTTCAAGAGATCATAAAATATTAAATCGTTTCCAATTTTTGTCCCATCCAGCAATGGTTGAACCAACCCTCAAGCTATCGAACGGACCAGGTGCCCTCTGTAAGGTATGCGGCGATCGAGCGTCGGGTAAGCACTACGGAGTTCCATCCTGTGACGGTTGCAGGGGCTTCTTCAAGCGTAGCATCAGAAGGTACAACTTGTAAATAGCATCTCAACATGTGAATGGTGAAGCGTGAGGGAATAACTATGTATCTTTTCTCCTTTGTCCTCGCATCATTCCTCTACAGAAATCTCGAATATGTGTGCAAAGAGGGTGGAAAGTGCGTTGTCGACGTATCAAGACGTAACCAGTGCCAGGCATGCCGATTCTCAAAGTGTTTGCAGGCAAACATGCGTCGTGAAGGTAAGTTTTATGTCGTTTGCTAAACTTGTGAAGAAGGCCCACCGACATACCGACATGAAACTTAAACTTAACTCTTGATAGAGAATCCATATCGGCCGATTCAAATGTGGAGCGATCCCATTTGTCAAAACCATAAAAATGTTTTAACCAGATAAAAATAATTTGTCCGAAATAGATTGGACGAGGATCAGCTCATAAATTGTGTACACCTGATCGTGGCTACCCGCATAAACGCGAACCATCACATGACCTTACCGATAATGGTTATAAATTGTTTATAATCCCTGCTAAACTTCAACTGAAATGGTTATGGAACTTTACATGAACGTTTGTGTGATAAAGTTTTAACCTTATGTATTATGGTTTTTTGGAAGCGGACCTTACAAATAATGGGTTGTTAAGAACCATTACCATTCCAAATTCTTGTTTTCTCCATACATTTTCGGAAAGAGAACTATATTAGAACGTTTTTACTTATGGTTTGAGAACATTAATGGTTATGGTTATGGTAGTCAGTAAGGTTCATTAATGGTTTTGTATTATCGCTCAACTTTACGTGAAATATATCGTGAATTGGTAATCAGTAATTTACAGGCAACCAATTCGCGATATATTCCACATAAAGTTGATCGATGTTACAAAACCATTCATGGACCTTACTGGTTACCATAACCATTACCATTAATGTTCTCAAACCATAAGTTAAAAGGTTTTAGTATAGTTTTCTTTCCGAAAATGTATGGAGAAAACAAGAATTTTGAATGGTAATGGTTCTTAACAACCCATTATTTGTAAGGTCCACTTCCAAAAAACTATAATACTTAAGGTTAAAACTTTATCATTAAACGTTCATGTAAAGTTCCATAACCATTTCAGTTGAAGTTTAGCAGGGATTATAAACAATTTATAACCATTTTAGGTAAGGTCAATTTATGGTTCGCGCTTATGCGGGTAGGATAAATATTTTCCGCGAACACGGCGGCAGATGTCAGTTTTGCACTTTGATCAGAAATTTCTTTGTAATTTGTATGATCATTCATGTCGGTTTGTCGGTGGAAGGCCTACGCGTCCGATTGGACTTGCAACTAATCTAAATTGAAAAATAATATCTTGTGGAAATCTCAACTGCCAGTTATCATACAATGCTTGTAGAACTTTGAAATTATTTTTGAATTATGTTTGATTATTTTATAGGAGTTCGTATTGATCTATTGGGTTTCTGAATTGCTGAAAACTTGGAAAAATTTCAAATGATCGTAACCGAAAGGAATCAATGAAACAAAGTCTGTGCAAGTTCGAATTAAATTTTAAATATTTTAATTTTTTACAGATTGTTTAAATTTGACCAAACTGAAATCTGGATTAGTGTGTAGAAAACCTATGCCATTGTTTTAAACAGGCTCATATTTTGCGGTTATGGATAAAACTGAAAGGTAGGGTTTTGAATCTAATTTCCGTCCTATTATGCATAACCCACACTTAACCTCTCTTTTTCGAACGGAGAAAACTCAAAAATGGATGGAATGGAACTTTAGATGACTTCCAAATTTATACTTTAGATGACTTCCAAATTTATCTATCCAGCTTTCCATGCTCGGTAATGGCCGCCTGTTTGTATGAATAAATGTAACCTTCACTGTGCTTTTTGACACTAACTGGAGGGCGTATGTTGTTCCATTTTCTACTGTTCCTGGGAGAGGGAAAGGGAAGGGGTTGAAATTCGAACATCCAGATAGTGTCAAAAAGCACAGTGAAGGATACATTTATTCATACAAACAGGCCGCCATTACCGAGCATGGAAAGCTGGATACGTACCGCTGGATTTGATAAAGAGTCACAAATTATTGAAATATTGTAAGAAATCTAGCACTGCTTCTTGATTGCAAATTCTTTCTACGAGTTTCCATTCCGTCCTAACGCATTGAAACGCCATTGGTTTTTCTAGGTTTTTCTTCGTTCTACGAATGAAGACAGATAAAATGGATTTGATAGGAGCGCTTCTTTTGTTTTGAGAACAATGAGTTTAAATATTCATACAACGCACTCGCATAAGCTTTGCGTTGTAGTTTATGAGCAAACGCATCGAAACAAACGTATTATTGATTTGTGTACGGTGAAATCATGGATATTATTGCTGATAGAACGGAAATTCTAGTACTACGCAATGTTTGTTCTGATTCGCTATGAAAGTTTGACAGATAAAATTAGGGGTTATTGGTTTTTCCTATGTTTCAAGGGGTGAATCGATTAGCTTGGGACCGAAGAGAGTACTAGAGCTAGCCAAAAAGTTGAACACGTTATTTCGGGACCTTCTAGACTTAGAGTTACCTCTATGGTAGTGCTCTACCTTAGTTGCAATAATTACAATGAAGCACCGTGATTCATCCCAAATCTTAGGTGGCGGCCAGGGTAGACGCGATTCGCGATGCGACCAATTCAAAGGAATCTTATTATTTATTATTATATCTTGCGTGAGTCGCACCGCGTCGCGTCGCGTGTCGCGTCTACCCTGGCCGCCACTTTACACGGCGAATAATAACGACCCAAATTTGAGTTTAATTCACTCATAGTCGCCAAAAGTGCAGGAAATCAGCGATGAGTAAATTTGCCTCGTGATTTCCTGTGGAAAACCTCAAAATTCTGCCGGAAAATAAGGAAAATTGACAACAACAAATTACTCAGTCTAGGAGTAGTACCAATAGACTGAGTGAATACAATCTTCGCTCTTCTCATATTGGGGAAATTTTTCCTGGACAAACCTGAAAAAAAACCAAGAAAAACCATGTGGCATATTTTTTACTTTATGTGATTTATGAGTTAACTAAACTCAAATTTGGGTCGTTCTTATTCGCCGTGTAGGTATGTAATTTTAACCTTCTGGAGAAAGTGATACATTGGGTTTTCGACCTAATGTCCATCCTACTAAGCACATCCCGCACTTGACCTCTCTTTTTCGAACAAACATGAACAATAATAGGAATGAGGAAAATTACGACAAATGACTTCCAAATTTATACCATACGTACCGTTGGATTTGATAAAGAGTCACAGATTGTTGAGATATTGTTAAAAATCTAACACTGCTTCTTGCTTCCAAATTCGTCCAACGAATTTCAATTCTAGCGCATTGAAACACCATTGCATCATAGAGGTAACTCTATGACTAGAAGGTCCCGAAATAACGTGCTCAACTTTTTGGCTCAGCTCTGGTACTCTCTTCGGTCCCAAGCTAATCGATTCACCCCTCGAAACATAGAAAAAACCAATAGAGCTTTTTGACGTTTAATCGGCGCACACTACTGCACCATTTAAATCGAACGAGTGCGAGCAAGAGGGAAACAGATTAGTGGGATCCATGTGTGCTAGATAGAGAAAGACGATTAAACGTCAAAAAGGTCTATAACCCCTCATTTTATCTGTCAAACTTTCATAGCGAATCAAAACAAACATTGCGTACTACTAGAATTTCGACTAGAATGGGATACGTTAATCGTTTGCTTGGGACCAATAAGCTAATCAAGTAGTGAGCCCATTTAAAATCGTTAGTTTCGTATTGATTGTTGATTGCATTTTGTTTATCCTACGGATGAAGGCAGAAACAAATTATTCTCTTTAAGAGCGCTTCCTTTTTAAAACCCTTTATTTGTTCCAAATTCAAAATAAATTTCACTTCATTTTAACTTATGTGCTCCAGTTCCTACAGTAACTTACCAGCCTTAATTGTTATGATATACAGTGCTTTCCCGATTTTGTCTACCCCGATTTTGTCATTTTTTTTGTTCCCCCGATTCTGTAGTTGGGTGATACCGGCCACCCACCGCAATTTCTCAGCTGTGCTTCATCCGATTAAGCTAATTTTTTGTATGTTATTAGGGTCAACCATAAGCTTTTCACACCCGAATCAACTCAATCGATTGGTAACACCCAATGCGTTAATTAAGGAATAAGTGTATCATTAATAACTTTTGAGTGCTACTGTAAGTTCCATGAAGAATTTAGATGATTCCAAGGAAATTCCGAGAAGAACTCGAAAGGCATCGATTTATGAGGATTATTCCAAATGGGGGACGAATGCGTAGAAAATTCTGAAGATAATTCCAAGAGAATTCTAAATACCAAAGGAAATTAAGTTGAAGGATAATTCCTAGAAGAATTTCTAGATAACGTTCCATGTGAATTTTGAGCACAAATTAAAACGAAAATGCAGGAGAATTAAGAGAAGAATTCTAAGATAAAGGGTGATACGGTCAAAATTTGGTCAAGGGAAAACGCGTGTAAATCGGTGAAATCGTTTATTTAAAAAATCAAATTAAATTTCTTTTTCAAGTTCAATTAGTATAAAATTCAGGAAAAATATTCAGTTAGGCTTCCGCTTTTCCAAATCCGAATTGCCTGGCCTTACGCTTGACCCCTGCCATCAGATTTTGTACAGCCACCTTGTCCACCTTCTTCGCCGCAGAAAGCCAGTTTGCCTTGAACTGCTGCTCGCCCTTAGCAGTTTTTTTGGTCTTCTTTAGGTTCCGCTTGACAATAGCCCAGTATTTCTCAATTGGGCGGAGCTCTGGCGTGTTGGGAGGGTTCTTGTCCTTGGGAACCACCTGCACGTTGTTGGCGGCGTACCACTCCATGGCCTTTTTACCGTAATGGCAAGATGCCAAATCCGGCCAAAACAGTACGGAACAACCGTGTTTCTTCAGGAAAGGCAGCAGACGTTTATTCAAACACTCTTTCACGTAAATTTCTTGGTTGACAGTCCCAGAAGCTATGAAAATGCTGCTTTTCAAGCCACAGGTACAGATGGCTTGCCAAACCAGATATTTCTTTGCGAACTTTGACAGTTTCATGTGCTTGAAAACATCTGCTACCTTTCCCCTTCCTTTTGCCGTATAAAACTCCTGTCCCGGAAGCTGCTTGTAGTCGGCTTTGACGTAGGTTTCGTCGTCCATTACCACGCAGTCAAACTTCGTCAGCATCGTCGTGTACAGCCTCCGGGATCGCGC